GTTTTTTTTTTTAGCCTGATTAAAGCCTATTGTGGGGTAGAGATAAGCCCCCCAGCCATTATAGAGTAAAAGTGCGTAATAGCACTAACTCAAGAAGAAGAAGAATCAAGAATCAAGTAAACATTTCAAATTTTTATATTTGCCAACTGCATATGTTATTATTCCAACATATGCTTAACTTACAATTGAAACAATAATAATTCATCATTTCTGTTTAACTTTGGTATAATAACAATATCGACAATATCCTAGTATCGATGACCCGACCCTTAAACAATATATAAATTGGCTATTATTAATTGTTACCTATATTAACAATTTTATGTCAACAATTTCTATGTACTTCTATTCACTTCTAAGTAATGAAGGGGAGAGATATGCACAAATTATTCGAAAACCGTTGTTACTAATCTCAAAGAATATTCAAAGCGTTTATTATTTGTAAAGTATCGAATTTCGTTATGTTAATAAAGGACGAGTACAAAACATTGATTCGCTCAGTAGTGATATATCGCTGCGAGACATAGAGATTAACTGAAACTGAAGCAAGCAAGATAGCAGTGTTTGAAAGGAAAATACTTAGAAAAATTTTTGGCCCCGTGAAAGAAAACGGGATGTACACAATCTCGTGATGAAATCAACAAATTTATGAAAAATCAGCGATTAAGATGACTTGGACATGTGGTAAGTGTGTCGAATATGAGAGCACCGCTTAAGATTTATGAGAACGAAGTAGGAAGCAGCAGAAGATGGAGACGAAATAAACGATGGAAAGACAGCGTGCAGCAAGATTTAGAAGAAATGAAAAAAGGGAGAAGAATGAAAGGATGTTGTTAAAACAGGTTTAGGTCTTATATGGACTGTTTAGTCACGGATGGTGATATAATGAGCAAAGGACGAGGATGTACACAATCTGTTCCAAATCTGACAAAATTATTCTCAAAAAGGATACAAAGCATTTATTATTTGTTGATTATCTAATTTTCCTATGTTAACAACTTCTATACTGCCAGTTCTATTACAAAGTTTTAAATATACTGCCAGTTCTAATTACTTTGGAGAGAAAATATATCTGATAACGCATATATATAACAAATTCAGTACGGAATGTGAAAGTGGATATATGAATAAATGTATAAACAGTTAAAGACAAAAGAAATGTGCAAAAAAAAAAATTTCTAAGCCAAATACAAATTTATTGTTAATTTTATAGAATTATATAAAATAGTCTTATATACTATATACTTTTCCACAAAACTTTCTTAACTATATATTAAAATAAAATAATTTTAAGGCGAACAGTCTATATATATTTTGATAAACTTAATTCAGTTGCAGTGAAAGTTCGTTAATATATATTTGTGGTATTATATCTGCTTTATTAAGTACTCTATTGTGATTACTTTATGCAAATTTTAGTATTAAAAACTAAATTAAATATATTGTATATATTCTCAAATTGTGTAGGATATTAGTTTTCAATATCATGGCCAATGTTAATCTCAATGGCAAAGGCTATAGCAATAGCAATAGCAATGCAGTAGCAATTGCAATTGCAGTCGTAATGGGCATGGCAATGCCAATGGCAGTGGCAGTGACAGTGTTGGTTGTGATATTGGTAAGGTCAACATAGAATATTTTTACCAATAAATCAAATAAAATACGTAGAAAATTATGATCCTCGCTTTTGGCATGAAGTTGCAAAATTTATAATAATTCCATTAGCTTCATGAGTTTGGCTTTCACAGCACAAATATATTTCGTACAAAATAAAGAAAAATTACTTGGTTTCTTTTACTAGTTTTTGTAAACATTTTTCTATTTAAATTAATTTATTATGGGGATTTCCTTTTTATCAAGTTAACTGTAGCTGACATATAAGAATATTCCTCTATTTCCAAGGAAATGTTATTCTACTTCAAAGTTGCTGATATTAAAGCTTCTTTAATAATGACAGTTTTTTTTCTTTGTCAAAAATTTATTATATATTATGAATATTAGAATATCCTTGTCTGTTACAAGTATGTAATTTTAGTCTGTGCAAGATTCTATTACTAATAATTATTGGTTTAACATTTTCAAATACAAATTTCAGATTGATTGCGCCTGAAGTTATGCTGCAGATTATACTCGTACTTGGTACAATTTCTTTTAGTTTAAATGATTTTTTTCTTGCCATAAAAATGCATCCTAAGATGCGTTCTTGCATTATGACGAAGCAGCCTCCTCTGGTATTATGCTGAAATGTCACCTTTGCTTTCTTCTCTTTTCATATCAAGTCATTTTAGCCAATTTAGTCGATGCGTTCATTTTGTTTTTATAATAGGGTTTTTTTATGCAAATTGAGATACTTCACATACGGCTTCGTATATATGACATCAATTTGCAGTTATTCGTATAAATATGCTATCATGCAACTAAAGATGATTGTGGCATACTGCTTTATGCAAATTAGTTTCTTCAATATTAAAGCTACATTTGTGCATCGATACTGTGATCTACTTAGTAAAGTATTTTTGTGCTTTCCTGATATTAAATTATGAATAAATGCTGTTTCCATTTAATTTTGATGTTAAGCTAAATTATCGAGTTAAATTATCATATCTAAGTAAAAATATTTACGTTGCGTAATTGAAAGATGTCACATCTTATAGCACTTTGTCCTCCAAGAAACATTACTTAAGTATATACTACTAAAAAGCAAGTTGTTTTAAAGAAGTTTAAGAAAGGTCACCTACAATTATATAAAGCGATCTATAAAATTTATCAAAATAAAATTAACTAAAATATTATCGATAGAAATATTGATCTGTTTAAGATGCCAAACTTCAGTCAATAAAATTTGCATGAACGCACTAGACATGCTGGGAAATAAAAGAATATAGAAAAGTTAGACGATCATTTTACAGAATCAAAAATAGCCAATATCTTTAATTTAAATTTTTAAACAATTTTTATTAATAAAATCATGCTCAGTTAAGAAACCAGTGAATCTGTGGAAATCTGTTTAGACAAAAAAATCTGTTACAGAGTAGCTGTGTTGCATTTTCCTATTTTCTTTCTCAAATTCACAATAAGAAAAATATTCCTTGATCAGAGTCCGCTAATAGGTTAACATGTAACTTTATTGAGTAGGGACTACAGCCCCAGTAGTGCTGTAATTGTATTGGACAGTTAAAAGACAAATTAATTAGTCCATAGTAGGTTGACATTGGTTCATTAAAACCAACATCGTAACATCATAGTTTCTGTATAGGGCAATGAGAAGCGACCAGTTTGAGTCATACTAACAATTCAACAGTTGTATTTCTCGTGACATGTATAATTTGTTCATATGATCATTTTCACTGAAGTTAGAGTGATACCTACAACTATTGTTTATTATAATATAAAAGTGTTGTTTAATTAAATAGCCATGCAGCTGCTAGAAATTTTCTTTTGAGTCGATATTAAAAAAAAATGTCATCCCAAACGTTTTATTGTGACTACAATATTTAGTTACGCGGTAGGTAACATCACCTATAACACAGTATAATAACACACAAGTGGAAATGATAATAATGAACTAGTTCTTTATAACACTTTCATCCATTTAATTTAAAAAAATTTGCATCATGTGTAAAAATTTAGAGGCACCCCTTTGGAGTCACTTTAATCATAACCCTGTATTTCGTTACAGGGATAAAAATTACCATCGAGCATAAGAGATATTAAGACGGATGTTCAGATGCACAATGCAATAACCAAAAATACGAAACCAGGTGGAATTTGTTGTTGGAACCGAAGGTTATTTCACAACATATAATGTTTTTGTTAAAGTTGTTTAAAAGGTCCCTTTCGTCATGACAATGACTAAGGATCTTAAACATAATATTTTAGAAAAGACGGAACACTGCTTTATAAAACCATAAGGAAAAATTTGCTCCATCGCAGTTGAGTTAATTCGATAGGGCTGAATATGAGGAGTTTAGGAGTTACTTGCGATATATGCATTTCTTATATTTGCAATGAGTTCAGTAGAGTTCAGGAATATTAATATGAATATGTGCGGGATAAGTTGTGATCAATATATGTTTGAACACTATTGCCGGTCTTTGTGATTTCTTTTTATTTTTATAAATTTATAACTATGAAAAAAAAAATAGAAACAATAATTAGTAAAAAAAGCTATAGTAACATATGTCAATGTAGAAATTTTTTTCAAATTATTCATTAACTTTTAACTACTGAGAAGTTGAAAAGAGTTCTTAAAATGACTCTAATTTGTGAGATGTCAGATTAATGTTGCAGAATTCAGCTAGGATTGCAATTTTCTATAAAGACATTACCAGTATTTACATTTTTCATATATGACATAGTGTATAATTGATATGTTAATGCCTTGCTCTTTTTCTTTCCGAAGTGTTATCTTCTTACAGCGATAGGTGAGCCTATTGGTGAGTTTTATACTAATTTTTTATGACTCGTCATATATCTGGGACCATTTTCATTCTTTTTATCAGAGCTATGTCAACTGTAGTAGTTTAGCTGTAAGCTTTGTTTAGCTTTAATTGTTGTTTTAGGTTGTCTTGTGGTGTAGTGTCTGAAATTATTTAAGTTGGTTTTTGGTTTGAGTACTTCCTGATTTGCTAATTTCGTATGTTATCCCAACTTATTTTGCTAGCTATTTCATACCTTGGAGTCTACCAGGTCTCTTTATGTGCAGCTTAAAGTGCTATTCAACAAAGTTACTTTTAGCATTTAGAATACCGGCGATAGTTAACTAATTATTAGAGCTTTTTTTTTGAATGATATGTGTCAATGTCTTAAGTCTTTTGACAACTCATTTTACATTATTTACTTTATGCTTACACTGGTTAGTGTTCTTAATGAACGGACTATGGTATGGGTTAGGTTATAGTAACCTGAATTATAGTTGAACCAAATTTAGTTGAGTCTAAATTTTAAAATATAATATTGCTTAGTTATAGTCAAGTCGATTGATATTTCAAATACCGCAATTTATTACAAAAGTGATTATGTGTTTATAATTAATTAATTGTTTATACCAAAGATTTACATGCCGCTACGTTCTATATGAGATAAACGGCTTGGAAATTCGTTGCAGTTGTGCCAAAGTGTAAAGCGTATGATGACAGTAGTTGAAACAAAATATGCTATCTTTACAAATGCAACAGTTCTATTTGACTTTCTTCATAGTTCTTAAATGGTAAGGCTTAAGCCACGTTTTCGCTGAACCGATTATTTTAAAGCTCAGTTGAGATAATGAATTTAGTTTTGGCGAATTTTGTGATACCCATACCATAGTACAGCGCCAATGGCAACAGCAGCTAGAATACAATACCTCATCTTAGTTCTGGAATGAATCATTTGTAACAGTTCGGTCTGAGCTTCATTATAATATTTTCTGACAAAGAAATCGAGGACTGCTTGAAATCGCAATTGTTTGGCTCGATTGTTTCTACTATATTCTTCAGTGAAGACTAGTGGATTCAAAATATTTTCATTATCTGGAACATGTGGGCGAAAAAACTCAAACGCTGTATCAGGTATGCCCATTTGCCTTCTCAAGCGAATATGGCAGGAACGAACATTCTGTTCAAATTGGCGCTGTACAATAACTTGATAATTGGGACATATTTCGGCAGCATACCTTCCACCAATTATTGGTAAGTCGTAATAGTTCGGAAGAGCTAAGAGGTTTAAGAATAGAGAATCCACATCTCCTCCGCCCTCACAAAACTGCAAAGCATTAAATTATAAATAAAATATTTTAAATCAATTACTCTGCATTTATATATTACACGTCGCAGATCCATTTCCCTTTTACACAAATTTATCTCTAATACTGAAACCGTGTAGAAAATGTGTTGTCCGGAATATTACTTTTCAAAATTACTTTAACATATATTAAAATGTTTACATTTTCCACCAGAAATTTTGAAACAAACTATAGAAATATATTTTATTTATACAAAATATCGTAATTTGATTTTTCAAATAATTATGCTTGCATTCGTTTTAAATATATTAAGAATACTAGATTTAAAATATTCCATTATGAAATATATGTTTTGCTTATATGGTATAATATGGAATATATGGCATTTTATTGTTTGCTCTATATAATCCCTATTTTTGCAGATGAGTATATAATTCCTCTTTCTGAAAACATCTATCTTTAAAATATTATACGAGTACAGAACTGATATAATCCGTTCGAGAGTTCGAAATTTGAAGGGCTAGAGTTAGTTATATAAAGGGTTCTACCACTATGATGTTTTAGTAGTTTATATATATATTCCAATTCGTACACTTAGATTTAAGCATAACACTAAGTATTCGAACATGATATAGTATTCGAATGACCCGACATTATCAACTGAAATGAGCTTATTTACTGAAGTAGCAAATTGTTTAAAATTTCAAATACATTGAATACATAGACAAGTAATAAAGTTTGCTACACTGTTATATCGTAAGCTTTGTAATCAACACCCATTTTATGTTATAATCAATTTTTCATAAAGAAATTTGTGATGTCGTACTTGAATACCAAATCGTTCGAAATTTCGAATTTAATGGCTACATAGACATGCAATAAAGTTTTCTAAGCAATCGTGTCGTAAGTTTTTTAACCAATACCCTACACCCATTCTATGTTATTACCAATTTTTCATAAAGCAATTTGTAATGTCGTACTTGAACTTCAAATTGTTCGAAAATTCGAATATTTCGAGTAAAAGCGCACTTAACAAATTTTGTTATACTGTCATTTCGTAAGCTTTGTGACTCATACCCTACACCCATTCTATTATTACTTTTTCATAAAGCAATTTGTAATGTCTTACTTGAATTTAAATCATTCGAAATTTCGAATATTTCGAGAACATAGACATGCAATAAAGTTTGCTAAGTAAACTGTCGTAAGTTTTGCAACCAATGCCCTACACCCATTCTATGTTATAATAAATTTTTCATAAAGAAATTTCTAATGTCGTACTTGAATATCGAATTGTTCGAAAATTCGAATATTTCAAGTAAAAGTACACTTAACAAATTTTGTTATATTGTCATATCATAAGTTTTGTGACCAATGCTCTACACCCATTCTATGTTATGTTTGAATTTTTACAGAATAATTCGTAAAAGTATACTTAAACATCAAATCGTTCGAAATTTCGAATATCACAACTACATAGACTAAGCAATTGTATCGTAAGTTTTGCAACCAATGACCTACACTCATTCTATGTTATGTTCGAATTTTCATATGGTAATAAGTAAAGGATTTTGTATACAGCTGTTCAAGAAGGAATTGCAGATATTGGATGGAAACTAGGACAAGATAAAAGCTAATGCATGTCTAGTGTAAAATGCACAAAAAACCTCTGCTAGACTTTGCGCTTGAATGCATGCCTATTAAGTGTTCACGTCTCATTGAACATTTTTTAAGACTAATTACATTGTTATTTATTTAGTGCCTCTGTACAGTTCTGTTGTTATTGCTGTCGTTGTTGTTGTGCTCTTTAGCGTAGGCAAATACGTATCGTAGGCATTTCGGATGAATATTAGCATTTAGCATTGAACTGTGTGAAATATGAAAGTATGTAACTTATGTTGTTGTATTTGTTTTTGTTTTGTTGTTATGCTTGTGCTGTGTTGTGTTGCGTTTATGTTTGTGTTTTTGTGTTGTTAATTATTAATGGTTGCTACTGCTATGTAAGTGTGTATGTTTGTATGTATGTAAGTAAGTAATTGCAGTTCCCATTTTAAATACTCTTGTTCTGTTTGATATTGTTTTGTTCTTGTTTCTGTTGCAGTCTATTTTTGTCATTGTTGTTGTTTTGTATAATTAGTATACGTGTGTTTACTACATACATGCTTCAGTTTTTTTTTTCTGCCATTACAGATTTTTTGCTGCTTTTACATTTAGCTTACAGTTTTGAATTTGCTGTTGTGGTTTTTGCCATTGTTTATGCGTTTTTCATTAATTTTCATTATGTTAAATCTATTGTTCAGTGCCTGCTAACATTTTTTTTACAGAAAACTGTCAGACAGACAGTGAATCAGCGAGTATATCATTTAAGCAGCGAGTGAATAGCAATTTAGTAGATGCTTATTTATTTTCTCGTACATAATTATGTGCATGTATTTGTATTTGTATATGATATAAGTTTTTCTTGTAATATATCCGCACATTAATTAAAAATTTAATAAACTACGTAAATTTTAATCAAATGTTAAAATAATTTTGATTGGTTTGGGTTTACTATGTTTAAATGTTGTATTCGGCAATTATACAAAATTAGTTAAAAATTATTTATTATTATGTTGAGGCTAGTTAAGTCAGTGCACTTGAGTGATTTTACTCTCTATTTACTGCGAGGTTTCTTCATAACCCCTTTCTAAGCTTCGACTGAATTATCGTGTATCATTTCTTCAGACTAAGGAATAACTGATCTCAGATTTGCATACCTCCCCGAGAAGCCAGTTTGAGATTCGATAATGTGGTATTGGTAAGCCTGTCAGTTTACGTAAATAGTTTTAGTGCTCTATCCTTTATGTATTTTTTGATCGGATCAATCTTGAGGTCTCTGAGGATGTCATTCGGTCTAATGTATCAGCGTAATTGTTTATTTTATTGAATTCAATACCGGAATATCCTAGTATTTTTTATTGTTTATAAACAAAAAATTGCTTAATTTTAAAATAAATTTGCATTATTGAAGTAAATTAAAATTGGTAAATTTTGTAAAATAAAATTGGGAGAAATGGAAATAAAAATCATCTTGTTAATGAAATTATCTCCATCTTTTTGAAGCAAAAAATTAAATCACAAATTGAATTAATATATAATTATTTAAATATGTTTATAACATACTGTATTGTTGCATAATTTCTATATTGCCTACAGATCACTCATCCCATCTGAAGTTCTAAAACACAAAACTTTCTTGAGAAAAAAGTGTTTCTTAAGTTTTCTTGTGCAGATGGTTTTATTCTTTAGAATATTGTGTTCGGATGTGTATTTTTTAAATAAGACAAACTAGTATTATCATATCAATTACATAAGTAATATTTTCTAAGTAGAAGCCGCATCCATGCTTCTATCAATTAGCATTAATCACTTTGAAATATTTGGTTTTAGGAATATTAACATATTTAGTTATAGTAATGAGGGAGGCAAAGGTTCATACTGGACTGTACTGCCAAATAAGAAGAAGTAATATTAACATATTAATCAGATGTCAATGAATCTAAAATGGGTATTGGATTAGAGTGTTATTACTAGCAAATAGTTAGCTAACAGTCTGGTTTGAAAAGACATACAAAACTTCTTTAAAATTGTTTCCAATTGATATAAACAAACTTTAAGACTATATTAAAACGGCTATATGTGTGTTATATTTAAAAATGGCGGCTTAAAAGTGGTTTAAAAAGCTCACATTTTAAATTACAAATACGTCAATCAAAGTGCTTACAATGAGAAAAGTGTTAATGTGTGTTCACGCAACCTACTGTCCAATATAATAAATGTACTGTCTTAGATCGGGTGGGGCGGTTTTTAGTCACTACTGTCATAGCTGTAACTCAGATTAGAAAGAAAAAGTTGTCATTTACTTATTCTGTTATAACCTAGTATTTGTCAGTAGGCGTAAATCCTACTCCATTAAGCGTTTCCTTTCCTAACATGTTTGTTCCGATATCGGTAGTATAGCAAGAGAAAGCATTGCCAGATTTAATTAAATAATGAATTGATTTCTTTGTCTGATATAGATCTCATAAAATAGCTAGTATGCAGCTAGCGTTGTGGTTTCACAGTGGATCCACGTTGATATTTTAAGAGAGTCGCAACTTTTTGCCGGAAACACTGCTATAAATATCTTTGACCTAGTAGATATTTGCTATATAGAAATATTTTCAAAGGTACGTAACTTTTAGTTTAGTACCCGAAAATAGAAAATGTGAAAAACATCTTTTTAACTTATTAGTTAAACTAATCCTGCTTCGTCATTCGATATACTCAAAACTCTGCTAAACTGACGTCTTTCGTATCTGTGAAACATGAATATATATATATAAAAGTAAATAATTAGTACAGTTGTTTACATAAAGTAGATTCTTATAAAAGAACGAACAGAAGTGTTAATCCCGCCGGTGTTCGCTTAAGATAGTTTTGGGTGTACAAAAACTACATATCTAATTAGTTGGTTGCTGACGAAGACTATTGCTTTAAAATGGATAATGTGAATGTGAATGAATGCTCGCTAAGCATGTGAGTAGATATAAGTTTGTAATTTTTTGACGATTTAATGTATTTATATATCAGCATGTATAACTTAGCTAACAAACTCTTAAAACATATGTATCCATAGTTCCGGTAATGAGAATAAAAAGTGGATTTTTTAATTGCATAGAAAAGTTATCCAATCAGGAATCTTTATGAAATAAAAAGAAACTTTACTTGCTCATTTAATTTGCTTGTTTCTCTTTCATTATTTTCACTTCTTATATTTTTAATTAACTAGCAAACTTTGAAGAATAAGTTTTATTTATTAAATTAATTAAAATTTTAATTAATTAAAAATCTTTGAACTATAATTTTCATCTGAATAAAGTTTAAAACTTTTTTCTTTAATTAAACTTTAAACACACTTTACATTAACTTTTATAATTCTGTGTTTAGTGTTATTGAAGCACAGGTGCCAATCTTTGCATTTGCTATTTTCTAGGACATTATCTTAATATTTGTCATTGTTTTTGCTTTCTTTTTGTAGGAAATTGCACATTTTCCTTCCTGGCGAAATGCCTTTTCAGACCGAACTTTTGTTGCATGTACCATAATGGCACATAAACTTTTTTATTAGAAGACATAAATTATTTACATAAAGCGTTCAACTGGACGATTTGCCCTCTCCATATGAAATTTTTACAGCTCCAA